TAATTAACTTTGCCATTAAACGTGTTTACACGAATAAATGGTGGGAGCGCCGGGTACATCTTTGAATTAAAGATCATTGATAAATAAAAATCGAAACAAAATAATTGAAAAAAATTACATTAAACTAAATACCATTTATTTTAATGTATATAACAATTTATAAAATCATGTTGCCCGCTTTTCGAAAATACTACGGAAACACGAAAATGTCAAACCTGCAATGATTAGCAAATTTATTTCGATAATGAGGGATTTTTGTGTAGAAACCCTAAAATCTTCTTAAACAAGTTATTATTGAAAATTATTCAAAACAACGCCATTATTAAAAAAATCTTCCAATCTAATATCTTCAAGGATTAATCTTCGTCTCCTACAGATATCATTGATTCCAGTCATCGTATGCATCTCATTATATAAGGTTGCTTAATACATTGATACTTACGAGTATTTAATCATCTACCTCCAGTCAATTTTCATAATAATCACTTACAAAAATCTGCAAGCATTTCGTGCAAAAATAGCCCTTAGTGATTTGTTTCCTTTCCTATTATTACCATTAGTTGTAATAATCTCCTAGAATCCCAAATACAGACTGTAGTAGAAACCATCTTCCTTCATAAGTGCCTACCGTAGGTTAATGCAACACCCTAAACCTCCCCTATGCACGATTGCATAAGAATTTTCTCCATCATTTCCTATTGGTTACAATACTCTTTTGGATAGATTCATATAGGACCCATCATTCCTTCTCAGGAAAAGTCTCACAGATTTTCTCGGTTAAACTCTCTAATGGTCTTCTTCAAATAATCACAACAAGTTTCGGTAACCTCCTACATTTCCCAATGTAGAATTTATATACCACTAATCTCATTCTGTCACAAATTGAGAGAAGCATCCTGAATGTGCCTTGTTTACCTCCATTATCCTAAAAAAATAATTGGTTTCAGTATCCTTCTGCATGTCATTAATTGCAAGTACACGTAGAACTTCTAGGTGATTCTAGATAGAACAATCGAGTCATCATCCTTTTCTGTGAAAAGTATCCTAGGTCTCTCCTCAGTTAATATCCCGAATGGTTCACTCCACAAATCTCGTCAATTACCATTAGGTCTTGTAACCTCATACATTTCCGAAAACAGAATTTAACTAATGACTCATAAATGCTTTTGATTAAAGGAAGGTCCTGAATCTGTCCCTTACGATTACAAGAAGGTCCTGAATCTGTCCCTTACGATTATGTAAAATTTGTGTCCATTTTCCATGTAGGTACCTATATGTATGTATAATTGGGATTGCAATATCCTCTGCATGTTGAAGGCTTTACTACAGATTTTTTAGATTTTCCTGGATGAAGCCATATAGAATTCATCATCCCTTCTTATCATCATTATTACTTATTAAATATTCCTGGTTTTCCTCGTTAAAGGTCAATGATTCCATTGTGCCTCCATTAGTACTGATAACCTCCTAGATTTCCAAAGGTTGGGAGGTTTTCTTTTTTATTTCCTTCTCTCAGTTGAAGGAACATCCTATATTTCACTGAATAACATTACATAAGCCTTTAATAACTCTCCAAATGGAGTCACAGATCTCACATATTTCCCTGGTTAAGATATTAATCATAATGAATCTCTCTTTTTCTTCCTCTACTCATAATTCCGTTGTGCCTGCATTAGTACTGGTAATCTCCTAGATTCCCGTAGATGGGAAGGGGGTTCGTTTTCGTTTTCTTCTCTTGCTTGAAAGAACATCCTTTATTTCACTAAAGAACATTACGAAGACCTTTAACATCTCTCCAAATAGGGTCACAAAACGAACACACAAATCTTGCATATTTTAATCATCTTAATCATAATGGATCTCTCTTCTCTTCCTCTATTCATGATTGGTTAATGTCATTTCCCTAATGTCATACCCCCCCCCCCTTCATATCATTATCAGTTACCTAGATCCTAGATTGCCTTACCGTCGATTCCAGAAGCTCCCTAGCTCTCCTCGCCTCGTACGACTGCTTCTGATTCATCGCCTTGTCCATAAATGTCATTAACGAATTGCAGGTTTTATTTTAATATTCTGTTGCAGTTACTGGCATGTCTAGGTTTTCCACTGTCGATGTTTGTGGGTTTGACGTTTTGGGCAATATATGCCGTCGATAGAGAACTGGTATTTCCCCGTGCGTTGGACGCCTTTTTCCCCACATGGCTCAACCACGTCATGCACACTAACATCATGATCTTTGTTCTAATTGAAATGGCGACGTCGTACTGTCGGTATCCGTCTAGGAAGTTCGGATTAACGGTGGTTACCATTTTCATGGCGTGCTACCTTGTCTGGTTGCACGTTATACACGCGAAAACAGGGTTGTGGGTGTATCCCATCTTGGACGTACTGAATCTACCACTTAGAATAGTGTTCTTTGCATCCCTACTCGGTTTAACGATCGGTTTGTATATAGTGGGCGAAAATTTGAATGCCGTTTTGTGGGCCAAAGAAATCAAAAAAATAAAGGTTGATAAGAAGAAAAAACATTAACGGTTTTTTTTCTTTTTTTTTTTTGTCAACAGAAACAAACTTGCTAGAGGTTTTTTTTTTGGTTAGTAGGTACTGTATTTTTAAGGCCTAACACGTGATCAGTTAGTTAGTAGACCTAAGACTATTCACATAATATGCCAGATGCGATGATTCATTAATAAAAAATGCTACTGATATAATTTACCGTTAAGTAGGGCGGGAGGGTGGTGTATAGGTGCTGCAGAACTGCTAAAAAATTAGTTATTTATCACGTATTATGAAAATAATACACCCAAAATAGTCTTTTTTCGGGCCGTCCGGTGCTGATTGAATTGTCTACTTCTGAGCTTTGCAGTATTCTTGATACATGTTGTTTAACTGGGCCGCATGAGGCAGTTCTGTGCACTGTCTTGGAACACCCCTTGACATTCGCTTCATTCTAAAGAATGCATTAAATCAAAAAAAGGAAAAGGTTAGCATATCTTTAAAAAAATCATCCAGTATAAATATGTTATTTTAGTTTATTTATTGGCTATTTAAAATGTTATTACATGTGTTAACTTGCTGATGATGATGCCTTTAAAGTTATAATAAAAGATTCCTTACTTTTGGTTGTCAATGTAAATCGAAATTTAGTAAAATTAAAAAGTTGTTCTCAAAAAAGCTCAAGAGCTGTTGTGATATTTTTCTATTCAACTTTAAAAGTGCTTCTTTTTGCCGCAGTGAGGGTTATTACAATAGGTAGAGTCTCAGTTACATGTAAAAACTACGTTAGATATACAATAGTTTATAATTGTTACCTTACTTAATATTGTTATTAGACTGTAACTGATAAAGCTTTAGCTTAAATTTTGAAAAAGTGCTTTAAATATGACAACAAGCTCCAGTACAAATTTTTCACTTGAAATCGTAACTTTTCAAATAAGAAACTTTTCTGATATTGTTGAATGTATAAAATTAGCACATAAATATTATGCCTAGTGAATTACTTGTTGAAGCATTATTACATTTTTATATCTACTACATTGTTATGGTAGTGTATAATGTATCATAATTGATTATTTATACATATATATATGTAATTGGGATTATGTACACCAAAACAATTATATATATATATTGCTTTAAAAGGATACATATAAAGTTTGGTAAATATTGAAATGAATAAAACACAATTTGCTAAATAAACTTTTTTTTTAAATGTTAGTCTTCCTTCAATCTGTTTTCTATTTAACGAAAAATTTACACTTGCTGTATAATTTACTACATTACGTTAATAGACTAATGAATATTATAGATACATTCATTGTTGATGCAATGCAATTAAAGATTTTGTAAAATAGTTATGCCTCAATTTTACAATAAATAATCGTTTTTATAACATGGTTGTGGCAAATACATTAAAATACTTTTCATCAGTCCTTAGACTGGATGGACACGCAACTCCACTCTTTCCCGTCCTGAGCTAATCTTCGCATTTCCCTTAAACTAGATTTTTTTTTATGTTTTCGTGGAAGAGGAGAAATCTTCAAAAGACACCCAGTCGTCCGTACGACTGGGTAGTGTCGGATTCCCGAGGAAGAAGTCCTCGGACCTACCGACTAAAACCCCTCTACCTCAGGCCGTTCTAGGACCAATTAAGGTCCTCTTCAGCCGTTAAACTAGAGAAACCCACATCCTTAACCATTTCATCATCATCATAAGGTCATCAGTCCTAAGACTGGTTGGACACGTACCTCCACTCTTTCCTATCCTGAGCTAAACTTCGCATTTCCCTGAAACTAGAACAGCCCACATCCTTAACTATTTGCGAAGAGTAATCTAATCTAGGTCTACCTCTACCCCTCCTAACTCCTGTTTCTGCCTCTAATATGTCTCTGACTAGACCTTCATGCCTGAGAAGGTGTCCTACCAACCTATCTCGCCTATTTTTTATTGACTTCCATAGAGTCCTCTGTTCTCCTATTCTTTCCAATACCTCTTCATTTCTAACCTTTTCTACCCACGATATCCTCATCATCCGCCTATAACACCACATTTCGAACGCTTCTAACCTTTTCTTTTCCGCCGCTCCCACTGTCCATGTTTCGCACCCGTACAACGCCGTGCTCCAAACATACACCTTTAACAACCTTTTTCGAATTTCTAAATTAACCGTTCGCGAGCATAGAAGTGACTTCTTTTTATTAAAGGCGACACGACCCTGCGCTATCCTCTGCTTTATATCCCTACTACTCCTTCCATCCTCACTTATCTGACTTCCTAGGTATCTAAAATCAGCCACTTCTTCTAATTTTTCGTCTCCTATCTTTATATTCGCTCTTTCCCTACTTTTTCTTCCCTTGCATATCAGTATTTTAGTTTTACTTTTATTTATTTTCATACAGTACTGATCTGTCAGTACCGCTTCCATTTTATTTAAAGCTATCTCTAGGTCCTCCTTGCTAGATGCTAATACTGCTATATCATCTGCAAATCTAAGCATACTAATCTTTTGCCCTTGCACATCTATCCCTACAGTTGTACTGTCTTTAATGATGTTGATGGCGTCTTCGATGTATAGATTAAAAAGTAGCGGTGACAGTGTGCATCCCTGCCTGACTCCCTTCCCAATATTTACTTCTCTACGTTGCAGCCCTAGCTCTATAACTGCCTGTTGCTCTTTATACAAACTAAGTATCCTTAACCATTTACGAACAGTAAATTAATCTAGGTCTGCCTCTACTCCTCTTATCTCCTGTTTCTTTCTTCATGCCTGAGAAGGTGACCTACCAACCTTTCTCGCCTATTTTTTATTGACTTCCATAACGTCTTCTATTCTCCTATTCACTCTAATATTTCTTCATCTCTAACCTTCATTATTCACCTGTAACACAACATTTCGAACGCTTCTAACCTTTTTTCCGCCGTCCATGTTTCGCATCCGTACAGCGTCCAAACACACCTTAACAACCTTTTTTGAATTTCTAAACTAATCGTTCGCGAGCATAGAAGTGACTTCTTTTTATTGAAGCCGATTCGACCCTGCGCTATCCTCTGCTTTATATCCCTACTACTCCTTCGTGACTTATCTGACTTCCTAGATATGTAAAATCATTCACTTATTCTAATTTTTTGTCTCCTATTAGAATAGGCAGCCGTCCGTCTGATGTTCGTCAATATATTAGTGAAAATACATTTAGTTCGTTGGTAACCAACAGTAGGGTGTTATTAATGAAAATCATTAAATTGATATTTACACATTCTGAAATACCTACAGATCAAATTTTACTTCGTCAATTAACAATTTCTTATACCTACAACCATCAGTTTTTTTACCCAATTATCTTTTAGTTTTATCTTTTATTTAAACGTTTTGATATTCAGTTGATTCCAGGATAGTATATTCTGAGAGAAGACTTTTGCCATTTTCAATCGTTAATCTCTTTTAAACCGTTCGAAAAAATCGGAAAAAATATTCTGAAAAGACAGGTAAATGTGCTGGTGTCCAAACCCCCCTTCTCTTCGGTTTCAGAAAAACCAAAATTCGACATTTATTAGCATTCGGTATTTAATAAACACATCTTTGGAATTTGACTGAGAAGATTATCCGCAAAAATGACAGAAATGATGAACCCCTCGTTAAAATCATGGATCCGCCCCTGACTATGCCTTAATAAATGGGAAAAGGATATCATTATATGCGGAGTTACCCACCATAGCCAAATCTTGTAATACATTCACGAGCCGCCAATGAATTTGTTACAATAAATTGTCTCAGCTGTCTGATACGCTATTGTCGCAAAGACTTTTTTGTTAAAAATGTCGTAATCAAACAGCAACTGGATAACCAATTGTATATTATTATTGTTTATGAAGAACAAAAAGTGCTTCATTATTAGTGTCTTTTTTTCGGGGGTCCAATCAAAAAAACGGCTCATCAATGCGCAACTAATTACATTTATTAAACTAAGGCGGACTGATGGGTACGGTTTGCTGAACTTGACAAATTCTTCAGCCTTTAGACACAGTTCATCATCGTTTCGACTCGATCTTCCGTTCGTCCTCTTTCCCGACATATCCATACACATAGAATTTCCTCCCTACCGCGACCGAACAACCGGGACACGCCGCCGTTGATTACGAAATGAAAAAGCTCATTGTCCATCTTCAGCGAGCAAGCATCGGCTCTCCTAATGCGTTTCATTCAGTCCGATGACGTAACGAATCTGCCGGTGAAGAAATAAACTGCAAAATCATAGTCGGCCATGATTTATTCGGCCACGGTTTAATTTTTTTCCAAGAGTCGACGATCTCTTCGCCGAGGTGCCTCTTTTATAAGATACTTTCCGAGCAGCCACACGGTCTTTTGTATCACGTACAAGTTTGGGTCACGGACCGTCTCAATTGCACTCTATATCTATTGAAAATTGATTAAGTATTTTGTAGTGTTTTTGAAAAAGTAGCGGATTACATTTTTATAGCAAAAGCCAACCACTCAGACCATGTTTATATTTTAGGACTCGGTAATTATACAGAATTGGGGCTCCAGACCAAAATCGCTCCAAAAATTTTTTCATCGATTTCCGACCATTCTACATAATANATTGCACTTCAGCAAGTCAGGAGGTTAACCATTATTACCGGGAAGGTTGAAAACTCTAATAATGAAAGATGATTTAAACTGAAACTATGTCACAATCACTTTAGATTTTTTTTGAAGTTTTTGACGTCTAAACTTCTTATAATTTTAAAAAAGCAACTTAACGATTGATCTCTTAATTACGTTACAGTTTTATACATAGATATAAAAAATACAACGTGTAATTATACAACACGCTACTGAAGTGAAACTTCATCAAACACACAAACATAGGGAATAGCATAGGAGTTAAGGAATTGGTTTAATGGTATTATTTGTACACTATGAATTTAAATTTTACACTATACATGCCGGAGTTGCCTGTAACGAACGTTGCATTGAAACTCGCTCACGGCTCCAGCGATCCCCACTACGAACTCGACTACCTGGCAGAGTAGACGGGGGACATCCGTTGCATGATTTCGTTACATAGCAACTCGCATGAAACGAACTTACCCTACCGTGCGTAAAGAAGTTTCACTTCAAAAAAGATCTGGCTACGTCCTTGTATAACCCTGTAGGTAGACCATAAAACGAGGGGTAAAGGTCTAGATGATGGGGGGGGGGTCGAAAGAGGAGGTCTCTCCCATCACTGTACCATAAAAAGTTCGTAGCGGTCTCACCCCCATAAAAAGTTATAGGGGTTCAAAGTTAATAAATGTGTCAATTTTTATACATTTCTAGGCATGTAAATATTTATATAGTCATTCTTAAACAATATTCAAAGGTAAAAATACATAAAACTATTGAGAAAGTTATATAAAA